TTTTTAAAACTATTAATTCAGTTCTTAATCCAACTATGTGCTCTGTTCCTGTTGTCAATCTGGAGACGTGCATAAAGTTCTCCGACTTTTTTGCTCAGAAAATACAAGATATTAAATCACACCTCTTTCCCACCGACATAGATCATTCTGATTCGGTCCCTCCATCAAACAGTTTCACAAATTTTCAGCCTGTATCTTCTTCTCAGCTACTTAATACAATTTCTCAGACTAAACTCACCTTTTGTCCTTCAGATGTGCTGCCTTGCCGTCTTTTTAAAGAGGTTTTAGATACAATCTGCCCCTCCCTCTTAGCCTTAATAAACAGCTCCTTAATAAACGGGGTTTTTCCAGATGTCTTCAAACATGCTGTTGTACAGCCTCTATTAAAGAGGCCTAATCTTGATCCCGCTGTGCCTGACCACTACAGGCCCATATCTAAGCTCTCATTTATCTCAAAGGTTTTAGAGAAAATTGTGCTTTCACAATTGACCTCATATCTGGACATTTTTAATATTCTAGACCCCTTCCAATCTGGTTTTAGAGCAAAACACAGCACTGAGTCTGCACTACTAAAGGTCACAAATGACATTTTACTCTCCATGGATTCTGGATCTTCTGCGATTTTAATACTTTTAGACCTAAGCGCTGCTTTTGATACCGTAGATCACAACATATTATTGAGACGACTTGAGTGTGTTGTTGGGGTTCAGGGCCTTGCCTTGCAGTGGTTCTCCTCATATCTAAAGGGGAGATCTTTTTCTGTAAATATTGGATCCTTTACTTCACCACCTAAACCTATTCATTGTGGTGTTCCACAAGGATCTATTCTTGGCCCTCTTTTATTTTCTCTTTATATGCTTCCTTTAAGCTCAATACTCCTCAAACATAAAATAAGCTATAACTGCTATGCTGATGATCTCCAACTATACTTTCCAATCAAACTAGGAAAAGATTTATCATTAGAAAATCTTTTCCTATGCCTTACCGACATTAAAGGGTCACGAAACACCAAAACACATTTTTTGAGCTGTTGACAGTCGTATATGTGTCCCACACTGCTAAAAACACTATTAGGACACCTATATTTCACTAAAAAGTGTAAATTGGTAGTTTTTGCGTTATTTCAAGCAAATTCGTACTTCCTGTTTGAAACGAATTTTTGAAGCTGCGTCACGGTCATGAGATAATAGCGTGTATTCCAGCGTGCAGACTGGGCGTCTGTACCAGAGTGTGTCTTATTACGTCTTACAGTGTGTTGCATTAATGCATGAGTAAGGCTTGGTTCAAACCAATCAGTGCGCTCTATTGTGCAACTTCATTAATATTCATTACTGTCACAGTGTAGACGGCAAAGACGCCACGTTGTGTTGGCAAAACAAGCGTGAAGTGTTGCTTTTATAGTTTGCTGCAGTTAAGTTTCGTTTTCATTTTCTCTCTGTGAGAGCTCAGACTCACGTGTGGATTAAGTGTACGCGACGCGCGACAACAATAATTTACGTGTCTAAGGAGGATTATTGTTTACCTGAGAGCTGTTCTCATCTGCAAACGCTGAGATTGTAGTCTCCTCTAAATAAAGACGCGGCTCTAGTTGCTGTTGATTGTCCTGTCTCTACAGATTTGGTAAGTGAGCGACCAGTGCTCTTTGTTTATTCAGTTCGTATTTTATTCGTATCAAACAAACTATTGCACCGAGTGCAATAGTTAGCACTAACAGTTACAACCAAACTATAACCTCGTGTTGGATTTTGTGACCGGAATAACACACGCGGCTTTCTGACACTACCTGCCGTGTGTATCTAAGTTTCCGGGAAATGCTGAGTTTTTTTTCTCTCATTCGCCGTGCGGTATCAAACATTGCATGAAAAATACACGCTTAGAGCAGTTCCTCGAGTCAAATATCAGGTTTGTCGGAAGGGACATTAATGAATTCCCTGAATGAAAGAGCCAAACTGCAGTTAAAGTCCAACATTTAATAATTTGGCAAATAATTCGACAACAGATGTCCATGTAAACACAGTCACATTGTCCGCTGTGGGTGTGTGTTTTGACTCTGAAATTCAGCGCGCCCAAATAGACACTCCCATACCCAGCCGCTTTTCTTCCTCCGACACTCCCCCCTAAACAGAGCTGGACACGCCCACTTTTCTGACTTTTTCCAAAGTAGAGGTGTGAAAATACACTGCTGAAACGAGGGGGTTTCATGGCCCTTTAAGACCTGGATGACAAATAACTCTCTGCAACTAAATGAGAATAAAACAGAAGTGTTAATTTTAGTTCCTGCTGCTACCAACAATTCAATTAAAACTCAGCTAGAGCCCTAAACGACAATCTGCACAATCACGCCAAGAATCTCGGAGTTATCTTTGATCCACTCTTGCAGTTTGACAAACATGTAAATGCAGTTGTGAAGAGCAGTTTCTTCCAGCTTAGATTGGTGGCAAAAGTTAAACGCTTTCTTTCTAAAAAAGATTTAGAAATCGTAACCCATGCTTTAATCTCCTCTCGTCTAGACTACTGCAATTCTTTGTATATTGGCCTACCTCAGTCAACACTCTCTCGGCTACAGTTGGTCCAAAATGCAGCCGCCAGATTAATAACAGGAACTAAGAAAAGAGAGCATATCTCCCCTGTCCTTGCCTCATTGCACTGGCTACCTATAAAATACAGGGTTGATTTTAAAATTCTTCTTTTCACTTATAAAGCTTTGCACAATTCTGCCCCCGCCTATGTCAGCGAGCTTATTAGGCCGTATACAGCTCGCAGATTCTTAAGATCACATGATCAGTTTTTTTTGTCTGTCCCTCGGTCTCGCTGCAAGTCAAAGGGTGATCGAGCTTTCAGTGTTGCGGCACCAAGGCTCTGGAATAGTCTCCCTCTGAATATCAGAATCTCTCCTTCTTTGGATGCTTTTAAATCTAACTTAAAGACACATTTTTACTCTCTTGCCTTTGACTGATGCATGCATGTTATTTTTGTATTATTTATATTTTAGTATTACTTTTAAATATATTTTATTGTATTTTTAATACCAGTTATTTTTAGTTTTATTGTCTAGTTTATTTTATTGTAAAGCACTTTGGATCAACTACGGTTGTGTTAAATTGTGCTCTATAAATAAAGTTTGCCTTGCCTTGCCTTGCCTTACTTGGAATATTGTCCAGGTAAACTGTTAAATATACTCCTGCATGGTCTGAGATGTCCCTTGTTCCAATTTTACAGTCTTTTATTTTATGTTGATCTGACCCAAACATCAAAAAAACAATTCTAGAATGAGACATGCTGGCAGAAGAGAAGAAAGTATATTCTTTTTAAAGAGGGTATATGTCTCTTCATACATCTATCGAGCCTAATTATTTCATCAAATATCTTATTTGTCTTGTTTCTTGACTAATTTGCTTATTAGACGATGAGTCCAATTTAGGCTGAAGTTGTACATTTCACTCTCCCCCACAGATCAACGTACCTGATGTCTCCTTGGCTATAACACTTAATATTTTTTTGAGAAATGCTTTGTCTTTTTCAGGTGGTCTATATATACTAACTAATGTAACTTTGTATTGGTCGATAGTTTCTTTAATTAGGTTATATCGCCCTTCTTTATCAGTAATCTTAGAAATTAATTGGAAGTTGATTTTATTTGAGATTAATGTCATTACTCCTCGTTTACGACCATTATTATATGAGGAAAAGAAAACCCTAAATCCCATTGTTTCTGATTTCCTATGTTCTGTATCAGAAAGATGTCTCTTGCCAGAAGATTATCTGTTGGTTTTCTCTTTTAATTTTAGCCACAGGTTTGCTTCTTTTAATCGGATTTAGTAACCCATTAATATTCAAAGTAATTACTCTATATTTCTGTTTTTGCATAATCAGATGTTTTTGCGAAGATCACTGTGATCGGAACATGAAAAACGCAAACATGAATATCTTGAACCACATAAAAAAACATTACGAAAAAGATCTCCAAACCTTGAAGTCTTAAATAACTTCTTAATGTGAGGGGAAAGCCTTCCTTCTTTAAAAAGCCCTTCCTTGCTGTGCCTATTGTTATTTAAATATGGTTTAGGTTATCATATATGACGTAAAAAGGATGATTAATACTAGTGTGTATAGGAGCTCTCTTTCTCAGCTTCTTAAGCTGCCCCGAATGAGTGAAACTCTAGGGTTGGGTATCATTTGGTTTTTCGATACCGGTGCTAAATTGATACTTTTAAAACAATACTGGTGCCAAAACGGTGCCTGAATCGAATCTTTTTAGCCACAAAATGATGGTGGACGACTCTTCAAAAATATTTTATTTGACAAATGATTTTTTTCAAAATAATTTTAATAGAACAATATAATTACAGTTTAAAGTAAACATCAGTTAATATTGTATTACATTAATACATTTCATTTGATCATTTGTTGGTTAGCATGAATTTAAGATTTGCATTATGAAATTACATTAGCTTACTATTAACCTGTGGGGGGCGGGCAGGGGCCACATACTTTTAGGAGCACATTTTAATATATATATCACAAAATACTTAAAACATTATTGGAAGTCATTTGTTTTCATCCATCACTCTGCAGTCTTCATAAACAAGATAATTAAATAACTTAAACTCAAAATAATCTTCCTTGTTCATTTATTTGACAAGTAACATTGTACTGGTGTAGGAGAACACATTTCTAACATTCAAGTACATCAAGGCACATTGTTGCACCTGTAAACTTTAACAGGCCTACAGTTGAAGTCATTATATTTAGCTCTCCCATTCATTTAAAATAATGTTTTTGAAAACTTTTACAGTGTTTCCTAAAACATAAATATTCTGGAGTCATAATAAGTCCTATTTCTTATTGTTTATTTCATGAATAAAAGCCGTTTTTAATAAAAATAAATAAATAAAAATAAGGTCAGTATTATTAGCCTCCTTAAGAAATATTTACTATAAATTTTTGATTTACACAACAAATCAGTTACAAAATAATTCGACTAATTATTTTAACTTTCGTAGTGAACTGATAAGTCTAAATTACACTTTAATCTAAATAAAAGACTATAAAATACTTAAAAAGACTTTGTCTGAATACTGTCTTGCAAAATAACTAGTAAAATGTTCTGCACTGACTGTCAGCATAAAAAAGTAGCGTTAGATATTAGAAACGAGTCAGTTAAACTATTGTGTTTAAAAACGTGTTGTAAATAAGTCATGTGTTCAAGACAGAAATCAAAAATGAATGAAGTCAAAACTAAACGAGTTGAATATTAAAATGTTTAGTGATGCTGTGACAACACCTATATGTGCCTTTTTTCATGCAACCCTCACGTTCATGCCGCAGCACCGAAATTAGGCACTGAAATTTATACGCTGATTTAATACTGGTGCATACCGGTTACCATTGTACCGGTGCTATAATGGCACCGGGTTTCGGTAACAAACCCTAGAACACACTGATCATGTCTACAGTTTATCTCCAGCGTGAATCCTCTGATGTGTTTTCAGGGTTCCTGAGCGAGTAAACCTCTTACTGCAGTGTGAACACTTGTACGGTTTATCTCCAGTGTGAATCCTCTGGTGCCGTTTTAATTCTGCAGCTGTAATAAAAGTCTTCTCACACTCCAAGCACATATACTCTCTCACACCAGTGTGGACCTTCATGTGTTGTTTAAGGTGTGATGATGTGCTGAAACTCTTCCCACATTGAGTGCATGTGAATGGTTTCTTTCCAGTGTGGATCATGATGTGTTGATTAAGATTTGATGAGTTGATGAAACTCTTCCCACACTGAGTGCAAGTGAATGGTTTTTCTCCAGTGTGGATCCTCATGTGTTTTTTAGCGTATGATGAATCGCTGAAACTCTTTCCACAATGAGTGCATGTGAATGATTTTTTTCCGGTGTGGATCATGATGTGTTTTTTAACGTTTGATGAATCGCTGAAACTCTTCCCACACTGAGTGCAAGTAAATGGTTTTTCTCCGGTGTGGACCTTCATGTGTCTATAAAGCGACGAACGTATGCTGAAACTCTTCTCACACTGAGTGCATGTGAATGGTTTCTCTCCAGTGTGGATCCTCATGTGTTGATTAAGGTGTGATGATTGGCTGAAACTCTTCCCACACTGAGTGCATGTGAATGGTTTCTCTCCAGTGTGGATCCTCATGTGAGTCTTTAGTTTGCTTTTGCTTGCCAAACTCTTTCCACACTGAGTGCAGGTAAAACAACTCTTATCTCTCACTTTTAACACACCATCAGTCTCTAAATGAGTTTTGTCCTCAATTTTGACATGATGTTCCTCCTCTTTACTCTCCTCATAGTCTTTAATTAGGTCTGAAATAAAAATAATTTTACTTTTTAGTAAATCATTAAAACTCAGTGAAAAGGCACTAAAAACATTGGCTACACAAATCTTAATTTTGATGCACATTAAATGTAAAGACATAGCAAATCATTTTTAGATTGATCTTGTCATATTAACCTCCTGGGGTCCATTACACACAAACACATTTAAGCAGATTCTTATATGATTAATCCCAGATCATTTTGGTCATATTGATGAGACATAAATTTGAAAGCTGTAAATGGCCAGTTTCTATTTGTATATATTTGTAATCACAACAAAACAATTTGTTTTTGTAAAACTTGTAAAGCAGATGGGGAATGCTTTTTCATTCTGTGCCTGACTGGTAAACCTGTTAAAAAAACAGCTGAATCTCTGAGAATATTTGCCTCATAGACATATGACACATGTATAATATCTGCATAAAGCTTTAAATCTGCACCTTTAAATGACAAATGTTTTAGAGGTAAGTAATCTGTATGTAACAAATGCAATGCAGAAATCTAACACTTAACTGTTTCAGATCATCTAACAAATGTAAATATTAGTCAAAGATAACACAATTAAACACATTGTGCAGTTTTTAAATCAAGTTTTTATTCTTAAATTGAAGACAAAATACTGAACTACACAGACTTGTGTGAAAAAAAAAATTCCCATTAGAACAATTTTAATTTATCACACCAGCTTCAAGTTCTCTAGCCACACCCAGACCTGAATACTACCACACGTTCGCAATCAAGAAATCACCTAAATAGGACCTGTCTGACAAAGTGAAGTAGACCAAAAAAAGCTTCAAAGCTAGACTGCATGCCAAAATCTAAAGAACTTTAAACACAAATGAGAAAGAAAATACTTGTGTCACGAGTTTAAAAAAAGAGTGAGCTCAAATGCAAGTCTTTATTAAGAAGCAAGTCTTGGAAAAAGCAAAAGTCAAAGTAAACACCCAGTTGGGTGAGCGCTGAGGAAGTGCCGTAGGAAAAAACAACCAGACACTCACTCACTGGCGGTCTTAGAAACATACAGGGTGAGTAACAAAATAATATACACACAAATGATCGATAACATACTGACAAACGTGAAGGGGAATGATGTGGTATAAACAGGAAAAAAAAAGAAAACGAGAGCTCCTGTGACTGCAAATAAAAGCAGATGACAAGAGATAATCTGTAACACAGATCAAGAGAAGAGAGCAAAAGCGTAAGGTATCAAAGGCGGATGTCGCATCAAAGATTCAAATGTTACCACTCACTAAGATATGTCACAAGAAACACATCACTTTATTGTGGCATTGAGGCTCAATGGGATTCTAATTACTGGCCAAAGTTATATAAAATTACACTTCATTACAATATATATATATATATATATTTATATATATATGTTGAATATAAATATATAAAATATATATTATATTATATTAAATTAAGTTACATAAAACAATAAAAAGGACAAATTCTGGACCTTTTGGCCATGTGGGGTGGTTCGTTCGAACAACCCGAACCCCCCTGGCTATGGGCATGGCACAGTGATCCGTGTCGTTACAACGGCTTTTCCCACAGCTGGTGGAGGAGACGAGAGTTCGGTTGCAGTTCACTGAAGTGCATACATTTGCATTGTTTTCACTGTAAAATCCTCACCGTGTGCGCAGATTTAGGAGACATTTATGCAGAATGCATCTTTGCACCTAAAATCGCCAAACGCAGCACTCAGGAACAGATTAAAACAGTTGTTATGTGATCTTGAAGTAAAAAAAGTCTGCAATGCTTGCCCCGCCTTTGTGCTCTACTTAAAGGCTCACTGCTCTACAACTGAATGCAAATGATTGGTTAATATCAGCTGTCAATCACAATCGCCTTCTACCTTCAGATGACAGGAGCTGCAACTGCGAAAATATGAAGCGCTGAAAATGAGAGAATGAAAATAACAGACAGGTTTACCTAAAAGTATTAATAACGGCGCATCTTATTAGTGATCATGTGCTGAATGTTAATCCACCATTTACACTTTAACAAGAGTGGATAAAAGACTTCCAGTGGCTTTAAGTCCGCCGGTAACAGTGTTTGGCACTGAATTTGTTTGTCGGCCATCGGCGATGGACAATGTCATCTAAAAAAATAATACAATTGATCAGCTACACTCAACATCATCTTCCGAAGAGCTTCATAAGACAATACTTATTCTGCAAGTGGAATGACTCCTTGAGGATCTCCACATAAGATCACGCCAGATTCATTATGAACATGGTGAACGAGCTGGCAGGTTATTGTGTTACCAACTGAAACAATCCTCAGCAGCTGGTGTTATAGTAGCAGTTAGTAAGGATGATTGCAGTATTATTACTGAACAACAGGTTATTAGTGATCAATTAAAAACTTCTATAAAACTCTTTACAGCTCTGAGGTAAACTATATTGTACGTATTGAGAGCTTTTTTTAATAACAGACATCCCAAGTCTCCCGGAAGTTGCGGGAGTATCCCTGAAATGCATAGACACTCCCAGATGCCAGCAAATGAATGATAATCTCCTGGAAATCATGCGTATCCTGCCTGGTCCTTAAATATGTTGCACACCCCTCTCTCCACTGCATCCCTACTAGCTCTTCAGGTACGTCGCGTGCAACTCACCCCCACCGCCCTTCAAGTACGTCTCGCGCACACACGCCCCCCTTCACCCGCACTTCGAGCACCCACTAATCCACTACCGCCCGCAAATCAACTCTGTATCCCCCGGAAATGACTTTTTCCAACTTGGGATGTCTGTAATTATTTAGAATTACCATTCCTCTGTGATTTAGATCAGTTGACATATGGACATTTAACACCTTCTGAAATTGAAAAAAAAAAAAAAAAAAAAAAAGCACTAGGTCCTGATGGCTTCCCGGCCGAGTTTTATAAGAAGTTGTCTGCCAAGCTAACACCCCTGTTGTGCAAGGTATATGATGAAGCTCTTGTCTCGGAATCACTCCCCCCTTCATGACATCGGCTGTTATAACAGTACTTCTTAAAAAGAAGTTACATGACCACACACACACACAACCACACACTGTCATGCGCTCCTCTGAGCTCCAGGCAGAGAGCAGTGGACGTCGGACAGTTTAACAAGGATGTACTGCTGGATCACTATAGTTGTTAAACGTGATATTCAGACAACAAGAAGTTCAGAGAGTCTATGCATTTGCGGGACTCATAATGCCCGCAAATGAGTGGAAAGCACGTATCTCCTTCCCGGTCCTCAAATAAGTCTCACACCCTTCTTACCTCTGGATCTCTCCTCGCTTCAGACACGTTGTGCACTGTCTTCATTTATTTCATAAACACAGATTTCTTTACGATTTAAAACAGCATCTTTGTATATCTTTTCTGCTGGAGATACTGTGGTCCTGAAAAACTTAAAACAAAATGGAAAAAAAAAAAAAAAAACTTACATATACCGTAGGAACGGTATAGCAGAACATTTTGGCAGTTTTAAAACCTTAACTTTTTTTAAACCTGCGTTATACCTTGTAAACTGTTATCGTCCCATGCCGAAGCAGCATAAAACTGTTTTTAGGATCTAAAAATTAATTAAAAAAAAAAAGTCTCAAGTAAAAAAATTTAAATGGCGAAGCCTTCTACACTCAAATGTTTGCATATCATCAGCATGCTGTAATCCATTTCTTAAGCAGCAAAAGTCATTCTTAGACTAGTTTGTTGGCCAGTTGTAGTCAGTGCAATGCTAAATGCTATTGTTCTACTCAAAATAAGTTCGTTTTGTCTCATGTCGTCCCACAACACCATCATATATCTTAGATTACTCTACAATTTTTTATAACAATTAATTATTTTAGTGTCCATTTCATTCAGCATATTTAATATTGGAGGCATCCATATGACATACTTTAAAACAGGATTTCTGCAGGTTTCACCAAGTTAAATTTAAGACTTTTTAAAATATTTTAAAGACCCTTATGACTGAAATTTTAGACTCATAAAGGGCTAAAGGCTAAGAAATTTTTCATATGTCCCAGATGGAAAATATTTGTATTTGCCCTATCAAAAAATATAATAATTGAATTCATTTATTTATACAATAATAAATAAATTTTATATATATATATATATATATATATATATATATATATATATATATATGTATATAAAAGATTTTAAATTGTGTGTAATAACAAGCAAATACTACTTGAACACACTTTTTTCTAACAAACTTTCTTTAAAAAAAAATGAACAAATGTTTTAAAAGTTGTAAAAACTATAATAAACTAAATCTATGCGCAACAATCTGTCCAGGTCGATGTCATCAGCAGTAAATACATGGAGCACGTGTAAACAAATGTTATTGTGAGGAAAATAATTAAACCATTATGATAAATAGAGTTAAAATGACCCTTTTGAATAAAAAGATGAAAGTTTTATTGAGATGGATTGTTGGTGTTTGTATGTGTTTTGACCAGATTGGGTAGCAAAACATGAACAAAAAAATGAAGACTTGGTTAAAAACATTTAAGACCTACAACACAATACTCAGTAAATTTAAGACTTTTTAAGACCCAACGGAAACCCTGTTTAAAAACAATAGCCCTGGTAATTAGTTATTATAATAATGATGTAATTCTAGATACTATTTGTGAGAACTAACAACTACTAGAAACAAGTTTAATCCCATAAAGAAGTCGATGAAAAAAGGGAATTGTGATCAACGTGACATATGAAAAGTACTAAGCCAACACTATCACTGTAATAGCAGATATCTTCTATGAGAATACTGTAGGTCAAATATCGTCAGCTCAGTTAAACTTTTTAAATTTATTGTTTTTGTTTATTTTATATAGCACCAGTGCTCAAAGACACTTTACAAACAGCTGGAGAACAA